CTTGAATTAATATGGCTGAGAAAAAATATGGAACTGTGAAAAAAGAAAGTTATTTATTATTTAAAATCAATGACTGCAATGAATTATGGCATGAAAACTTGTTATAAATTAAGAAAATACAAAATTGGATGTAAATAAATGTGCTTTCTTTCATACTTCTGTGACTATTTGGATTTTTATGATAATATTGCATAAAATATTTCAGAGAAAACTGGATTAATTTTATTTACAAGGATTATAAAATCAAAACTACGTATGGCATACGATGCTGCTGATGCAGTGGGATGTTTAAACAAAAATAGCAACAGAACAAAATTCATTGGTCATACACTCACTTAGTATAATATAGCACTTAAAAAGTGGTTGGTACTATCGAACCCGATTTATGGAACTGTCTGTCAATTCAGTTTGGGTTGTTTTTTTTGTTTGTTTGTTTGTTTTTTTGTTGGTTTTGTTGTTGTTGTTGTTGTTTTGTTTTGTTGGGGGGGGCTTTTTTGTTTTGTGGACTTGTTTTTAATTACAAGTCTTCTTTCGCCTAGGAAAAAAGATCTACCTCATCAAGCTAAATTGGGCTTTAAAAAATTATAGCAAATACAATATAATATGAGCATTAAAGGTTAGCAAAGTAAATACCAGAATATTACTCCTTTTATTTGGACGAAACTATCTCTAAAAAGGATTAACCATTTTCAATCGAAATTATAATACATCCGAAATTATGTGTCTATACTGGGCTCACATTATAGCAAATTATCCACTTCGCTGTGATTCTGTAACGCTACCAATTAGGTTTTTATTTACAAATATGTACCTGAATCTCCCACTACAAGTATTTTTACTTTTTCAACAGATGACATCATTCAATTAATATATATTTTAAAAGAGCATCAATTCCACATCAACTAAGGGGAAGTAACGCCCAATATAACTTTACTCGCACCTACACGGTATTGAAAAAGAACAAAATTGAAGAGTTCGTTGGAATCTGAACGCGGAACTTTTATTTATGTAGCTGAAATTAACTTATTTATGGATTTCCGTTTCCGGACTGCCCAAAGGTCTTCCTATTTTCGGTTAGTTTCTTTGAAAGAAATAAAACCGTTTACATATCAAAAAAATTAGATATTTCTTCTTGCTGATCATATGCTTCAATCAAAATACTCTTATCGAAATGTTGTTAAGATTGTAAATTACCTTCCACCTCCTCACTTTCACATAAGTATTAGTAGTATTAGTGGCGTTTTTATTGTTATTTTCATCATTATTGTCATCGTCGTTGCCATAATCACCATCGGCGGCGGCGGCGGCGGCGGCGGCGGCGGAGGAGGAGGAGGAGGAGGAGGCATATCTATTTGGTTACATAATCTCTACAAAAAATTTAACAGGGACTAAAAATAATTGGAGGTATGACAACATTAAAATATATTAGCTCTCGTGTTTAGTCTGAGTGTAATATTTGTGTAATATTTGTTGTTGTTGTTGGGTTTAACGCCATTTTTCAGCACACGATAGGCTATTCATGGCGGCCAGTATTAATGGTGGAGGAAGAAACCGGGAAATCACCGGAAAGAACCACCGACCCACGAGAAGCTACTGGCAAGCTTTCTCACATATCCACATTTGTCGAATCCTAGACTCGAACCCACGCAGACAGAGGTGAGATGGCAGTGATCTGTAACGGACAGCGCTTTAGACCACTTGGCCACTCGGGGCCCCTGTAATATTTGTACGCACATTTTTAAAGTATGGTGAAGTGTTTTGTTATATACGATACACCAAGTTAAGTTTTCAATAAGTTGTTATGTGTCAAAATTTTAACAGGAAATTGTATTTTATTTTTTTTTAAAAATATCACTTTAAAGATTCTAACAACTATCCTTATGGTAATATAACCTCACTAGATGAAAAACTAAATGAAAATTATGTTTCTCTAAACAATGTTTATTGGCCAAAAATATAATCAAGATTCTTACAGTATTATTATTTCAATTATGAATAGGAAAGTGATTTAATTATCAATTGTGATGATTTTATTTAGTAGTTTAGAAATAACTTTGATGTGAGATATAATTATCTTCTATTTTGATCAGTAAATAATCTCTGTGCATTTCTGTTTCTATTCAAAGATCTTTCAAGGTTGTTTAGTGTTTTAATCTGATTATTAGAAAAAGTGTTGGGGTTTTTTTGTCTTATTTAAATGTTCGTGCATTTCTGTTGTAACAACTAAAGGTTTTGAAAACTTGTGTCAGCAACTCTGTTTGTTATCTGTTGCATGATTGTAATACTTTTAATAAGGAAATTTCTATGGTGGAATTTATTTTGCTTTGATCTTTTAGTTTAGTTTATTTTCTAACCGATTATTTCCGACAACCTACGTCTGCCTTTTGATGATACGCAGGTAATTGGTTAAAAAAAAAAAATGTTGGGCTATAACAATCATAGAAAGTTGAGCAAGTTCTTTGTAACATCATGTTTTTATCTATAATTCTAAAATTAACCTTATTTAAAATGTTATGTTCTTCACTTAATTTAAAATGCGGTATGATATCTTCTTTTCATAAATCAATGGCCTTTTGCTGAATTGTTCCAGAAAGGAATCGGCGTATGATCATAAATACGATAAAGTGTATAATAAAGAAAAGAACAATGAGTGAGACCAGGAGGACAATCATCCTTACGATGATCGTAAGGTTCAGGACCACATTCTTAAAGCACGTGCTGAAAACCACCTTTCTACTCTTGTTAAATGCATCAATATGAACTTTTCTGTAAAAAAAATTAGTTGTCGTTTTTTTTTATTAAAATAGACATAAGATATATTCTTTTAGTACTGAAGAGGACAGTATTTCGGGACTTTTTTGTTGCTATTTCTAATATAAAATAATAGAACCCTTACAAAATTTAAAAGGTGAGTAGAGTAACTGGAACATATAAAAAATAACTTGAAAACACTTCACCGAAAGAGCTGAATAAAATGAATTCAAAACAGATGAAAAAAGCAGATTAAAATTTTGTAAATGATGGCTCCGATAAAATATCAAATTCAATAAAATAATGGAAAAAATAACATTATTACCGATTAAGTGTCTTCACGTTGTTAACTTAAAAGAATTAAAGAAAGAGTTGACTCAATAATTGCTGCTTAACAACAAAAACAAGTTAGATATTTTTGTGGATGCTTTTTTTAAAAGCGGATTACCAAATTTAGCATTAAGTGTTAGCCTAGCAACTTTGAAGTACATTAAATATCAAAAGAAAATGAGCAAAACTGACGCCACGGGACATCACGACCGCTTTGCTGGACTGTTTCGCGAGTGAACAAAGCCATTACCTTGTTAAATTAGAATGTCATCAACTATAAATACTATTTAAGATATTTGTAACTTAAAATTAACTTGAAGGTAACTCGAAAAAGAAATTGTAGGAAACTTTAAAAACTTAAGGTAATTAGAATGAATGTTTAGTAAAACTCAAATTTCGTTACAAAAGGCAAAGTTAGAAATGCGAAGCGAAAACGTTCTTCAAAGTGAAACTAAAGAAACTTGAAGGTTCCTAAATCACCAGAGAAGGAAACGTCACAAAAGATTTTTTATTTTAGAAAAAAAAATCCTCGTGCAGTTGAATACAGAAAACAAATTGGATTTTTTTTTCTCAAAAGTATACGACATAAAGAGCAAGCAGAATAAAGAAGATTAGGAATAGTGATAAGAAAATGTCACATATGCATGACTTTTGGTGGTGTGAATACAGACTACGGCAAATTTTTACTTAATGTTTGGTGCAATTGTTGTCATGTGATATGTTTTTCAAACCAAAATAAAATCATTTTAATAAAACGTAGCAAGGCCTATTATGCAAAACGGTGAATCCTATTTAGCATGACTCAGACACTTACCACACATGCTCTAGTAGATTTAAGTAATGATAACACAACTTATCAATACTTATTTTAAAACTGTTAAAAAAAGCTATGTTAGCTATGTCTTTTTTATAGCTAAAACTATTTAGCATCCATCTTTTTCAGTAATGTGCAATACGCTTTTGCAAACAATATTTAGATATTTAGTCTTAAAGCAAATTCCACCAACTACCTTGGTCATAAAAATAAATATTAGTATTGATTATTCCAATGTACGATTGACAGTCTAATAGCTAAAAAGATAATTCCAAATAAGAATTAATTTTAATCTGAATAAATTTAATGAAATTACGAATGATTTAGTAAAAGGGGTAAACCCTTTTAGAGGTGTTAGAAAAGTTTATAAAAACATCATATATCGCACTATACATCCCATCAGAATGAAAGTAATGCTATTTAATGCACGTGAGAAACATCAAAGAGAGAACAACTGCTAATAACAACCCAGAAGAAAGCAAATGTACTGACAGTCAGATACGAAATTCTACAGTTTTCATAACTACTAGTAATTATTACCCAGGTGAAATAACTAGCTACAACTCTAAATTATTTGGGTCTCATCGCATGAAATGCATAAATACGTCTACCGAGCGAGTTAGATGCAGTTTGCAGATTTTTAAATAAGCAGATAGTTGGCGGATTTTTCGAATCCTAAAGCCGTATTTATTTTCCTTGATCAAGTAAACAATATAAATAATGATTGCAATGTAGGTTATTTTACTTCATTTGAGTCCTAATCTATTAAAATTTATTTCATGGTGATGTTACATCAAAATATGGTAATAGTTCAAGGAAGCAATTACAACACATTAAATATTAACATTAAAATTAAAAGGGGGATTGTCGTTTTTATTTCTTGTAATGCTTTGCTCAGCTCTCTGTATCGTTCCATCTATCCGTCCACACTGGACTAGTTACAACGCGGGAGATCATTCCATAGTTAACGACGCCGAATAAAAGGAAGGAGGGTTTTAATATTTTAACCCACCCCACTCACAGGCATACAAGGCAAAAACATACTATAGAATATATCAACATTCCAATAAATATTTGACTTCTATCAATCAAGGAAAATCACCACAGCTCAGGTGGTCTAGTGGTTAGAGCGTCCGCCCCGAATGCGGGGGGGTCGAAGGGTTCGAATCCCGGCTCAGTCATAACAAAGACCTTAAAAAAAATTACTAACAGCTGTCTCGCTTGGCACTCAGCATTAAGAAGTTAGTGTTAGGACAGATCGGTCTGGTATCAGGATAATGTGATTTCAACCACAGGTATTTAGGGCCATGATGCCCCAGTGCTAGACATCACTATAAACTGCCACACTGCAGACATAGTAGCTATATGACTGAAAAATTGTTAAAGGTACGTTAAAAATCTCTCTCTTTTACTCACACACACGTGTGTGTGTGTGTGTGTGTGTATGTATATATATATATATATATATATATATATATATATATATATATATATATATATATATATATATATATATATATATATATATATACATATGTATATATATATATATATATATATATATATATATATATATATATATATATATATATATATATATATATATATATATATGTGTGTGTGTGTGTGTGTGTGTGTTACGTAATTACTGTAAATTCATTTAATGGCAATTTGGGATCATATCAGAGTGATCATTCTGTACTTTTGATATATCATTACAACAGCGATAATCATTCGGAATACTCTTAGAAATCATTCGGTTTACCCGATATGTTTGGAATTGACGGAACATTCGGGACCATTTGATTTCATTCACCACATTATAAATTATTTTCAATGAGTTCACATTTTATTTTAGGGAAATAAATAACATTTTCAATTGTACAAAACTTGTTGGTTTTCACTCTTGCTTGTTACTTACTTTAAGACCATATAGTTGTAATAGTCGGTAGATTGTTTTACCATCCAATCCTCAAGATCAGAATATTTTCTAGACTGAAAGGTAACTTATCATCATGTGTAGCATGTAAAATCTTGAAGTAATTCGTCGTTCTCGATACTATCATCTAAGAATTGAACTATATACATATGATTTTATGTTTGCATATATCTGGTCTACTTAATGGATTCATGTTTATAACCTAATTAATTTTTTAAGTATTGAGCAGCAATTTTGATTCGTGTTTATCAACATTATCAAATCGAACGGACTGTGTTGATCCTCAGATGTCTTCATATATGTCAATATCCATCCTCAGATGTCAATATTCAACCTCAGATATCAATATCCATCCTCTGATGCCAATATCCATCCTCAAAGTCCTCAAATGTTTTCATATGTGTCAATATCCATCCTCAGATGTCAATAGCCATCCTCAAAATCCTCAAATGTCTACATGTGGATAAATGACCATCCTCAGATTTCTTGATGTGGAGCAATTTCTATTATCAAAAGTCTTCTTGTGGGTCAATTTATATCCTCAGATATTTTCATATGAGTCAATATCCATCTTCAGATGTCTTCATGTGGGTCAATGTGCACGAGGCTTCTCATATATATTGTTTAAATGTTCTAACTGTTTAAATGACTACACAACAAAATTTAAGGCTGTAAACAAGCATGATCCTTCTTCAAACACATATTGTTCATCTCCATTTTGATTAAACGTACCCCTGCTGGATGAAATATACTTTTCAACCTTGTTATGTATGATTTTTACCTCTTGATCGGGATCTGTATAATTAACTCCTTAATCAAGAAATGATTATACGAAGCGGAAAAAAATGTGACTAAAAAAACTTTTTAATTTATAATAATTTAAATTGAATTTTCATTCGTTATAAGCTTAACCTATAAGTTTGCTTGTGAAGTGGTTGTAGGCATGCTCTTTGTGTGCGTGTCCTTTGCCGTCATAAATTGTGTAATTCATGATTATCCTTATTGTACACCCTGCCTTCGGCACGTTGTCCCTCTGGCGAACATTTCTTTCTCACCTATACGACACTTGCTAGTGGAGTTAAGTGTTTCTGATATTCTCTGAAAACGATAGGTTTCGTATTCTTTGGCTTGACTTCAGGATAACTAGTCACTCAATTTTTCATAAGAAATATTTTTTTAAAAACAATCTTCATCAGTAAATGCCATTATAAATAATTGGTTCCTATTCGCGTTTATTTATTTAAGGTAGCCATCGCTTTAACCAATCACTGTCATTTTTCTGTCTACTTGGGTTAGAGTCTCGGCTGGGCCAACGTGGATATGTTAGAAAGCATGTTAGTAGCGTCCCGTGGGTTCTTATTGGGGCTTTCACGGGTTCTACCTCCACCATTTATGCTGGCCTGCATATTTAACTTATTGTGCGCTAAAAAAATGCCGTTAAACCCACAAAAACTAACCAAACCTAACTTTTTGCAGTAGAATGTCAAAGTTATTTTATATAATCTCGTGCATATATTGCCTATTATAAGATTTTTCATACAACGTGGAATCATTACTATCAAAGCGAACTAATTTATTGAAAACAGCTCATGGTATCAATTCACAATTACCAACTCGTTATTCATATGACAACTCTCTCCTAAGTTAACTCAAAAATGAACTACAGTAGCTCAATTCTTAGTGTATTGGAATCTTGGATAGTTGGTCACGGTTTCGACTCCTGTCAAGAAAATGTTGGGTAGGCCTCTATGGTGTGTCTTGCTCAAGGCACTTTACTTCAATTACCACAGGAAAGTACAACTCTTCATGTGTTGGTGCTCAATTATTAATCAATCAATAGTTACATGTTCTTTGTTCAGCCTTCATATTAAGAATGCAAATTGTATATTATTTTCGCTACACTTCAACCCATTTGAGTCTAATTATGACTTTAACTCAGTGGTTAAAGTTTCAGCCTTCTTCATTTCTTATTTTTTTTTAAATTATAAAATACTTTATTCGTTTGTTTTACCTGGGTCTGAGAGCTTTTGCTTTCTTAACGTCATTGTGTTCAAACAGATAGAAGAATGCAGTAAAGTTATAACCCACAACATTTGCAAAGATGTTTATTTGCCCGAAAGAATTTGGCAATTTCTTCTTATATGATTTTGACGATTTTATAAAAAATAAATTACTCTCTTTCGTCAAATTGATCCCTGAAAAGAAAGTAACAAATTTTTTCTATGCATTACACGAATGCATTGCATCTGTTGCATATAATAGAAGTTGTCTGGAATAAAAATTAAAATCGACTGTATTGTTAGATTTTAAATTAATACGCATTTAGAAATAGTAGGGAAAAAATATGCACTAATAATAACTTTATTTCCTTAAGCTGTAACAGTTTGTTTAAACTATACTTCTTGAAGACTGATTCTGCGCTACGCCATTGTTTTTAGTGCACAGTTGTTGTTGTTTTTTGTCTGTAAAGATAAAAGAACAATATTGAGACTGATATAGATAACGCTTCAAATCAAATACTTTTTAAGTTTATGAAGTTAGCTGCAAACAAAAGTTCATACAGTAATTGCATTACTGTAGGTCCGTTAGTATGAAAAAATTACATGCATCTCTTAAGGTTGCATCGATGTAACATCAAATATATTGTACACAGTCTGACATGAAAACAATAGTGTCCCTTAAAAAGGTATTTTTCTTTTGACACACACCACACACACACACACACACACACACGACAGATCTGTGAGCGCATATATGTATAATTACTCATATGGGCTTGTTTTCATTAAACTGTTGAGAATCGAAATAATTCTTGTGCAATTATTGCAGTCTTTTTAATTAGTTAATACCTTTAAGTCGTTAACGTAACTTATTTTATGACTCTAGTAACGTTACATTTTAAGCACGATTTATATAAGGCTATAGACAGACTTGGCAAGACTAAAGAGTAAGACATGCCTAAAGAGTCCTATTTGCCAACTAAATGAGGGTTGTAGCAGCAAGCAGCAAAGTCTATTCCCAGGCTACTACAGGCTTTTTGGTCTATAGCCAAACACCTGACGACTCTGGAGTCTACACATCCACCACCTAGGGCGTGACACTCTTCCGTGTTAGGCATTCCTGCACGAAAGAAAATCTCGACTGTATTAAGTTAGTACTCGAAACAGTATCGACAAAAACAATTCTTGGACGGTTAACTTACCCAAAAGAACTTGTACTCAATTATGCGATTTCTAACCACGTGCTCGGCAGTTGTTCTATATTCTGGATTAGATAGGTCTTGGTGCACACTAATGTTTTGTCGAAAAAAGTAATGCTCATCTACCTCACATGCATCCTTTAGCCACACTATATATTCAGAATACATTTAAATACAGTTCACAATTACAGTAACAAATTATTTTTCACAGCGTTTATCACTGCAACAAATATGTTAATCTCATACACGCGTAGATAACAACTTTAAATCCAATATGTATTCTGACATTGGTAATAGAAAATATGTTTGAATGACGCCTTGATCTGATCGTGAGTGTCAGTAGCTTTTTGTGGGTCGGTGGTTCTTTCCGCGGGTTTCCCGGTTTCTTGTTTCTTCCTCCACCATTAATACTGGCAGCCATGTATAGCATATCGTGTGCTAAAAAATGGCGTTAAGCCACACAACAACAACAACAACAACAACAACTATTGGAATTAGATGGAGCATACACTGGTATATATCGTAAATACTAATTTTAAATTAAAATACATGCGACCTGGAGAGAGAGAGAGAGAGAGAGAGAGAGAGAGAGAGAGAGAGAGAGAGAGAGAGAGAGAGAGAGAGAGAGAGAGAGAGAGGGGGGGGAAGGGGGCGATGTGTTACTATTGGAAGAGAGATGATGTTGAAATTTTAAGGACATATAGACTGCATTTGTGCTTTACTATTCATAGCACGCGTAAAATTAATTTGAATGTGGAATAAATAATCCCATTTGAACAGATTAAAATTTCTAAATACGTTTCTGCATCATGAACTATACTGGACATATTTTTCTCGTTAGAATTATGATGAAGGAAACAAGCTGGAATTCAGAATATGTATGTTTGCTGTTTTCCAGGCCTTCAAAAGTTTTGAATGTGGTATTACAGTGACTCAACTATGAACTGATGCATCAAAATCAATAGAAAATCAAACCGGATATTGAACGTGTGCCTGTCTTTGACCCAATCTAAATTTGCATTTCATCAACAAAAATCAACCTG